CGCGCGGGTGCGGGGATAGCTCAGGCACTGCCCGAGGCCTTGCAGGGAACTTCCCCGGTGCGAGCGCACGCGTGGGGAGTGGTTCGGGAGCGCCGCTCCTTTGTTGCACGGCGCTTGGGTCGCACCGAGAGGCACGCTTCTATGTGGGTGTCGCTTTGGGGCCGAGTGGTCACGCGGGGCGGTGCGTGACCAGAAGTTGCGCGACGTGACCCGCTGTGATGCGGGGTGCACTGCCGCTTTTACGCGTGGGTCAACGGTGGGACTTGGAAGCTTGGTAGGCTCCTTTGTGCCGGCACTCCCCCGGCTTTACGGTGGCGGCTTCGCCGCCTGCTCTGGGCGGGCGGACCTTTCAACGAGAGACGGCGCTGCGGCCGGCCGCTGTTCCCTTCGGATCCGGTGTGAGGGAATCAGTCCTTTGCAACCGACAGCGGGGTGAGCGCTGCGGCGGGGATGTTCGCAGTGTGCAAGGGAGGTGAGCGCTGACGGCGGGTGGCCGCGCAGCAGGGACCCCTCTGCGTGACTCGCAACGCGGCTCGCTGGTGAGCGCGGCCCACGGGAGGGGCGGCGGTGACCGGCTGAGCGTTACGGGACTGCGCGGGAGCGCTGACCCGGGGGCGTCGACGGACGCGGGCGACGCTCAAGCCCTTGGTGTTTGCGGTTTCGACCTCTCAGCAGGACCCGGGAGCAGCGGCCAGAGAGGGCCTGACTCTGTGGTCTGGATTAACCCGAGCGGCGGGCAGGCGGGGCGCCTGACCGTTTGACCTGAGGGAGGTTTTGGGGCCCGCGGCTGACGCCGCAGGAGGGGGTAAGGAGGGGGCGGCGACTCGCAGGGGATGAGACGCGCGCTGAGTGAGGCGGCTGCGCAGAAGCTGCACAGCAGTTGGGTGCTGACTTAAGCACCTAGAGGCTGTCGATATGTATATGTAAGGAGCGAAGTTGTCGCTGTCGCTGGCCTAAATGAGAGAAGCTGTCGCTGTAGCTGTTGCTGACTTAGAGCTCTGCTGGAGCCCTGATACTCGGCGGCGGCGCTTGGCAGCGGCACTGCTCGGTGCCCTGGCGGTCGGCTCTCGCGGGGTT